GAGGCGCTGGGGACCCGGGGCCCGGCCTCGGCCCGGCTCTGGCTCCCGGGCTGCCGCTGGCGCTGCCCAAGGGGACCGCCCTTCAGATGCCTTAGAAACTTAAAACGCCCAAACAATTGTTTAAATGTCCCGCCCAAGAGTTTAAAAGCTGGAGGCGGAGAGTGAGGGTCCAGAACCTGCTAGCTCGGTGCGGGACGCTCCGGAGAGGGGGTCCCCGGGAGACTGGTCGGAACGTCCACCCGGGAAAGCCCTCCGTGTGGGTGCCGAAGGTCGCCTCGGTCCTGCCTGCCTTCGCGCACACTCCTCAGGTGGACTCTGCAGTGTGCGCCCCAGGCACAAAGTAGATAAAAGTACAGAAACTTCCTGTTTGCAGCCCAGACCTTCTCCAGCGACTGAGAACTTGTTCCAGTGATGGAGCCTCAGAGGAATTTGTGGATTCCTCTCCCACCAGTGTCCAGGGGCAGAGGTGCTGGGAGAATGAGGAGTTCACAGAGGACTTGAGCATGACAGTCATAATAGATGAGGCAGATTTAAAGGAAGGAAGAAAAAGACTTCGGAGTGAGCCAACACACTGTTTTTCTTCCAAATAGAAAAGTAGTGGGGAAGGATTGCTCACGACTCTGTAAAGAGTAAGTTACATTTCTGTAGCTTTCCAAAGACACAGTCATTCCCTCAACTCTTTGAGGGCTGTGTGCTGCCAGGTGCCAGACATGTGAACTTCATTTGGTCAGTCGCAGTTTGGCTTCTTCGTGTGCGAGCGCTCTGTCCAGAAGAAGACAAGATTATTAAAGTTCACCGGGTTGAAGAGGAGGAAAAGTGTTCTAGTCCGCGTGAGCACCCATAAAAGGTCTCTCCTGTCTCAAAAGCGCATGCTCCGTGCGTGACCGGGCGTCTCCATCGCCACGTCCCAAAGGGCACTGTGGAAAGAGCTTGTGAGTGAAAATACTGGATAAGTGGAAGGCTCCCCGCAACTTTACACTGTGTGACTCTGCCTCAACAGGCAGCCACTTTGGATTTGAGATGGATATGGATCTGTGCTACAAGTTAAAGAGGAGTTCTTTTAGGAAATTTTAATATTAAAGAAATAACCTGGAGGCCTTTTGCAAAGGCCCATGGGTGATAGGATTTGTGAGGGCCCAGGAGATGAGATAAAGATGGTTGTGTTTTAGTAGGAGCTTCTAGAGAAGAAAAGCTGAAAAGGGAACTGGATTCTAATCCAACTTCTGCTGAGTTTCTGTGACCTCACACAGGAAAGGGTCTCTAACATAATTTTTCTCATAGTGAAAGGAGATTGTATCAAAGGTTCTAGGTTTCCTCTTGCTCAAAAAGTCCATGGAGTTCCACTCACTCAACGTTGGAAAATTGGGAAGTATGGTCTGCTTTTACCAAACTCAACATGTGGTAGATCATGCAAATTAGCTGCAAAGTGAATGGTGGATCAAAGAAGTAAACCAAATGAGGGTGGAGGATTAAGTGTCAGTTAATAACTAGTAATGGAATTAACACAGCACACTGGACTGGACCTGGAAGGATCAATAGGCCAGTGACAATATAGATAATGTTCTTGGGAAAATTTCTGGGATTTAGTAGTTGCCCATAAGTAATACTTCCCATCTTGTTAAAGTCATCATAGAGTGAGTGAGTGGCTCTGTAAGTTTTGGCAGAGCAGCGGTCTGTGCCCGCCATATCAGTGCCCAGCTACCTGTATTCAAAATCTGACTCAAGTGTTTGTTCAAATCATGGTTTCCACCTCACAGCTCTCCAAAGTGACGAGGCATCACCACCTTGACCAGAAGTGGTTTCTCGGCTATGCACTGTTTCTCATGTGAAATTCTTCCTCACAGACACCTTGTTTTGTAATTATTTTCTCTCTCTCTTGTTTTCGCTATGTCTATCCTTGACATTTGGGGTCATAATTTCATCAGCACTTCTGGGGCCATTTAAATTTAACTTAATGCAAATCATTCCATAAAGTGTATAATAAAAACTTGCCCAGAAGTTTCCTTAAAATAGTACCATGAAGCAGACACGAGCTACCATAAGGTTGTTCCCTCTCTGTCGCTTTTTAGTTCCTCTTGTCATTGTGGCCCTGAGAGGGCCAGTGGTAAAAGGAAAGTTACTAAACCTAATATAACAGATATTACCACAGTTTTCTCTTTTCCACCAAATGTTTTGACCAGAAAGGACCAGTCCTTATTATAAGGCAGAATCCTCTCTGTCTAGCTTGGGCAGTGCTTTTCCCTAAGCCTTCAATGGATCTCAGCATTATCTTTTTATTCAGGAATGCAGATATCATTTGAGTTGCCTAAGAAGTTTCTGAATTGAGATATTATGTAAGCTAGGGTGAGTCTCACAGATCTTAACTCACCTGCTGTGGCCAGCAACATACCTTGCACATAATAGATGTAGCACAAAGAGTTACTAACTTATTTTTTAATTGTAGGGTGGTCCTTTGGTTTCCTTCCACTCAGTAAGTTTTCTCGATGTCTTTTTTTTTCTGGCATTCCTGATGCTTTCTAGATAGTATCCTGTCATCTGAACATAAAGTGGTGTCCTTTGACCTCTAAAACCTGGATTGGTTTACTAGGAAGGCATTTTTTGGCCCACCTTTAGTGTGAAAACTGTATTTGCCTTTGTCCCAGTGTCTTTGGAACCCCAATCCGCCCTGTGTGAGGATCATATGTGAAAGCCCAGGGTCTGGGCCCTGACCCGAGAAATGCTTAAACTTGGGCTTGCCTTCAAGGTTTCAGGACACCTAACCCAGTAATCATTTCCTTTCTTCTTTAGGGTAATTCTCAGGGAGAGTAAATACCAAAAAGGCCTCTCAAGTCTTCATTCTGTTGAAAAGCTCATGCACATGAAACAAAAACATGAGTTCCTTCCTAAGGCAAAAGATATGAACTGAAAATTTTTAAAAGTATTTATTTTACTTAATAAAAATTGTCAAGCTGAATATGGTGGCATATGCTTATATTTCCAGTTACACTGCAAGTTCAAGGCCAGCATGAGCATTTTAGCAAGCTCCCCACCCTCCCCACCTCTATCTCAAAAAATAAAAATGTTAGCCCTCGTACTTCTCAAAAAAATGAAACTAAACTAGATGTAGCATATGCCTATAAACCCAGTATTCAGGAGGCTGAGCAGGAGGATCATGAGTTCAAGGCCAGCGTGGGCCGCATAGTGGGAACGTGTCTCAAAAACAAGAACAAAATTAGGGGGTTAAAAAAAGAAAAAAAAGATAAGAAAAATAGATTTTAATGATCATAATCATCAGGTTAGTTAGCTTCCCTTTGTCCACATCTAGGAGCAATAAAAGTTGGTTACAACCCTTTTGAAAAGCAATGTGTAAATTTTATCAAAAAGCCCTAAATACAGTCACAATCTTTGAACAAATTTGTTCAGTTTTGGAAAATGTATCTTAAGGAAACATCCTAAATGTGGAAAAAATAAAATTAAAAATTAGAAATGTCTAACAATAAACTAACTTACCCACACAATAAAAATTTCAACTATTAAAATAAGTGAAAAGGAAGTAAAATTGTAAAAATAAATTATGATAAAATGTTAATGAGTGCAGAATTTGGCCTGTTTTATTCATGGTGAAATTAGAACCTACCAAGGTTCTATCACAAAAAAATCACTCTACAAATACTGTTGAGTGAATATGTACTGTATTTGTACAACCATCGAGATGAAAGACTCCATAATGTTAATTAGTATTACAAATGACTGTGAACAATCTTTTTTTCTTCTATGTCCGGTATTATTCTAATTTACCTTAATGAGCAAATACTACCTTTACAAACAAGAAGGGAAAGATGTAAATAAATTCAGATGTACAAATTTGGTGAAAATAAATGCTATTCTGTTTTAACAAATTTTAAGTTATC